ACAGGTTGTCAGATCCCGTAATGAGTTGGCTAGGTGACTTTGGACCTTAAGAGAGGAGATCGGGATATGGATAAAAATATAGGCATCATCTGTTTACAGGTGCTAGTTGAAGCCATGAGATTAAGAACATGTGATGAGACAAGAAAGCTAAGAAAGAAGCATGAGAAAAATTAGTATTTAACAGGTGAGCAAAAGAAGAGAAATTATCCATGGTAACAAACACGATGTTCAGAAAATTAAGTGGGTAAAGGGGAGATTGCAAAGTCTCAGAATAAAAGAGAACAAATAGTTTCAAGAAAAAGGAAGAGATCAACAGAGTCAAATGTCATGAATAACAAGACAAAAATGTTTCTAACACAATACGGCAAATAAGATCATTGGTGAATTTTTCTTAAACAGTTTATTTTCTTACACAGTTCACACAAAGAAAAACATGATTGCAGGAGAGTGAAGAGCAAAAATCTGAATGTAGTAGAGTAAAAAGTAAATTAAAAGTGTGTGAAGAAGTAGCCATAGCCGATGAAGACTGCTTTTTCAAGGTACTTGTTTTGGGAGAAAAACTATTGGACTGGGAACATTATTTAATGATAGAAGTTTGAGTACACTTATAGGTGGTGAGAAAGGAATAGTGGAAACAAAAAATCAAAAGAGGAAGTTAACAATAATAGCCCAGCCCAATAGATGGAAGGATTTGATCACCCCTCCACAGACAATATTTGAGGGATGAGCTTTGATTATGAGACATCTTTTTTTTAAACCGTAGCCATTTGAAACAACTAAAAATATTTATGTGTACACCTCATCAAAGAAGATATACTGATGGCAAATAAGCATATGAAAAGCATATGAAAAGATGCCCCGCATCACGCCATCAAGAAAATGCAAATTGAAACAACAATGATGTACCACTACACACCTATTAGAAACAACCAAAATCCAGAACACTGATAATATTAAATGCTGACGAGGATGTGTAGCAACAGGAACTCTCATTCACTGTAGGAATGCAGAATAGTACGGTTTGGTGGTTTCTTACAGAATTAAACATATTCTTACCATATGATTCAGCAATCACACTCCTAGGTATTTACTCAAAGGAGTTGAAAACTTACGTCCATCCAAAAACCTGCACATGCATGTTTATAGCAATTTATTCATAATTGCTGAAACTGGAAAATAATCAAGCTGTCCCTTAATAGGTAAATGGATAAACAAACTGTGGTATATCCAGACAATGAAATATTATTCAGCACTAAAAATAGATGAGCTATCCAGCCTTGAAGAGACATGGAAGAATCCTAACTGCATATTACTAAGGGAAAGAAGCCAATCTGAAATCTTCTACTATATGATTCAAATTATATAACATATATATATATATATATGGATATAGCACAAAAATAAGTGGTTGCCATGAGTTGGTAGGAGGAAAGGATGAATATAGGCCCAGAGGATTTTAGGACACTGAAAATCCTGTGTATGATACTATTATGATTGATACATGTCATGACACATTTGTCCAAACCCAAAGAATGTACAACACCAATAGTGAACCCTAGTGTAAACTATAGACTTTGGGTAACTATGATGTGTTAATACAGGTTCATCAAATATAATGTACAATTCTGGTGGAGGATGTTGATAATGGGAAGGCTATGCATGTCTGGGTTGGGAGGAGGGAGGTATATGGGAAATTTCTATACCTTCTCTTAATTTTGTTCTTAACCTAAAACTGCTCTAAAAATAAAATCTTAATGAAAATATTTATGTGATTATATCATGTATATTATATGTCTCAAGATTATGAAATTTAAAAAAACACATATCTCTACAGTGAAAATGCAAAGAAATTATAAAACTCTTAATGGTGAAGTCACATGCTTTGTTGTACCAGAAACTTAAGGGTTGCTGCTGTTTTGATGACATTGCTAAGGAGCAGGGAAAGATCTCTTGAGGTCCTAGAATCAAATCACTCATATGATTACATACAATACCTATCTAGGAGCTCTTTCCCTACTAGGCCATTTACTAGCCAAATGTCTTAGTTAGTCATTTTCAATATTTTGGTCCTCCATTTTCTTTTAAACCCAAACATTCAAAATCTCCCTGCCCCTGATACCAAGTTTAAAAAAAAAAACTTCCTTTTAAATGCCTGGAAGATTCTCTGAATGCATAGCTTCAAATGCTAAGTCAAAAACAGCAGAAAGTGATGTGACTGTCTACCTGACACAAATTCTGACCTTTAGATAATATATTATTGGAATAAAGGTGATAAAGAATGGCTTATTCAGAGACACATGATCTAGAAGTTAAGGGAACTTCCATCTATTAAAAATCTATTCGAATTTGGCTATTGTTTATGGTTAATGAAAAACAGAAAGGTTGACTGCTTATTTGATCTTTGGCCTCAAAAGTTCTGTATCTTGGTGAAGTTACCTTGGTCCTCTTAACTCTAACTGTTCAATGACCTCTTGGCTTGCCATTTTCCTGGTTTTTCTTCCCTAACAATCTAATCTTCCAATTTTTAGGAAGTATGATGCTTTGGAGTTTATGGTCCTTGCTTTTTCTGCATATATTATAATAATTGCTAGGGTCTCTCATCTAGTCAGAGTATAATTCAAAAAACTTTACTTAGATATGCATAGAGGTAGAGGACTTAATATATTTTGTGAAAAGGTCTTACAAATTCAGTACGTTATTTCTTTCAATTTGTAGGAATGTAGATGATGGAAGCTGTGAGCCCAGCATAATACTATCAACATAAAGTATTTAACAGCTTGAATACTAACTTATCAAATATTATTTCAAAATGAATTGTGAGAGAAGAGCTTTCTGTATCAACCAATTATATAGCAGCTGCTATGTGCCAGGTATTCTTCTTAGCACTTTTCAAATACTAACTTATTTAATCATTATAAATAACAAAAGAATGAGGTAGGTACTGTTATTAACACTAAGAATGGTGCAACAGAGGTTAAAGGGTTAAATAATTTGTCCAAGGCTACATAGCTAGTAAGTACAAAGCCAAGGTTTACACTCAGATAATCTGACTCTAAAAGATGGTGAACTTACTAGCACACCATGCTAAGTTTTTGCTAAAACAAGGAAAAGAAGTCCTCAAGGAAGTAGCAGAGAGAAGCCTTGAGAGGCGATTTTCCTGTGGCTGGATGAGGGGATATCTGACAAAAGTTTTCACCTTCCTTTGGAGTTCTCTCTTTTAATCTCTATGGCAATACAGCATGCTGTTCCCTGTCTAAAGCTCTGCTCAGCGATGACCAGAATTAAACCTCTCTGCTTCCACCTGGCACAGTTAAAGCAGGCTAGCATAATTGCAAACATAACTTACAATACCAAGCATAAAAAAGTTTTTTTTAAAGAGAGAAAATCCGAGAAACATAAAATGTTAAGCTAATAAGTACACATATCAGATTCAACAATGACTGAGGTTCATAGACCTTATTATATCCCATATTTATTTCCTTAATAGTTTCTCACTCCAAAGAACTAAACCTCCCCAACTACCTACTCTGTCACCTCATTGAAGGGTTATATTGATGGGAAACAATTTATTCCTTCATTTTGTCAATCGTCTATTTATGGCCTTCTAAGAAAATAAAAAGAGCAGATTCTTCTCTATCACTCTCCTCGGAAGTCCATTTAGTTTCTGATGTAGGTTTTCAGGGATTCTTGCCTGGCACAACTGTAGCCATTGGAAACACTACCATCTACCTAAGCTGGAGCATGTTGTCCAAAATATAATATAATAATATACAGCAATTGTGCAAAAAGGATTACATATAAATAGTAATAGAAATCTTTTCCTGTTCAAAACTATTTCCACAATTAGGTGAGAAACTATATTTAGAATTTTGCTTTTCCTACTTATAAACTTAGAATACATTACTAGAAAAAAATAATATCCAGGTAGCAATTTCTCAGGCTACAATTTTTTGAAGAAAGTAGTCACTCAGCACTTAAGAGTCAGAAAGCAAAAATTACATCTACTAATGAATGTGTTGTATTTTTATTAAATGTATTCTATAAAATATTTTACATTTTATAAGTCTGTAGTAGTGTATACAAATCTATAAACTGCATCAGTTAAAATAAATGGAACACCTCCACTGTCTCTAAGGAATATGTGGCATTACATAATTTTCTATCCATTTTTGCCAGTATGGAATTACATAAGATAAGCAACATTTTGGCACCAAATCATCAACAAGAAGGCAAATTTTCACTGTATCTTATTGATGTATTTAACAAGACTTTTATAACTAAGAGGTGACACTTTACTTTTGCATACCTTAGCAATGCATTAATATATTCACTTTAATTTTTATAGTGTACAGATAATTTATGATTCTTTAATAATAGGAGAATACAAATAATTAAAAATTCTTGGTGCATGCATTAAAATGACCTTCCCATTTAGATTTAATATTCTATTGGTTCCAACCCCAAAATTAGAAAGTGAGAGGTGAAATGTGGACAAAGTCAAAAATATCTTCCTTTAAAGACAAATGTCAAGGAAAACTCGAACTTTTCTATATAACGATAGCACAATGACTTTCAAAGTTCCATACTGAAGCTCCCACACACAGCAAACTTGATGGTCCTAAACTGATGTGCCTTCAAAAGTTCAAGGGTTGAAACAAAAAACAGAAGTTTTGCTTATAGAGCCTCAAAAAGCCTTAAACTGCTTTAACCTCCTAAGGACAGATCATGCCTAGGAAAACTTTGCAGGGCCTCCAAATCAAGGTTGGTATATGCATGTCAGTGATCAATGTGATTTTTGAGGAATAAATACATTCTTTGCAAGCAGCTGAAAAGCAATTGTGCTAAGAAAGACAGAGAAACTTTTTCCTTTACAATTATCAAAGACAAATAGCCTAGATGGCATAGGATTTTGCATAGTCAATTTTTTTTTGTTTTAATTTAGAATAAAAAGACCAAAAGGGTTGGAAACAGGATTTCAAATGAAAAATGGACAGACTTACTGGTACATGCCATGGAAGGTGGGTCTTGTTCAGCTCGAAAGTAACCCTTTTCACACTGACAGACAGAAGTTGCTTCCATATAGGTTAAACTGTGTGGAGGACATTTAGAACATTTTGTGTTGCCAGCAAATGCTTTATAGAATCCTGGTCTGCAAGCTGCGAACATAGGAAAAACAATATTTTTTATTATCACTTATTTTATTTGTATGTGTACAACATATTTTAACTTATACACACTTTGGATGTCAGAGTTCAGTTCACACATACACAGAAAAGTCAATACATGCTAATATTAATGAATGAAATTAGTAATTCAAAATAAGTTACCCAATGGGGACCTCATATTTTAGCTGAGGTTGCTACTTTTAAAAGGCATACTTGAAACAAAACTATGCAAAATAACAGTGCTTACCAATGTATGGGAATGCCCACATTAAGGGAGACAATTGTGTAGCTCTGGGAGATGGCATTAAATAACATTGAATCACACCCTTTAAAATTGATTTCCATTCCATTTCTCCCTCAGCTCTTCTGAGTATTTAAGGAGAAAGTCCCAGGGTAGTGTGGGTATATCTTTAACATCTTCCTTACAGACTAAATTTTTTTTTTTTTTTTTTTTTGCGGTACGCGGGCCTCTCACTGTTGTGGCCTCTCCCGCCGCGGAGCACAGGCTCCGGACGCGCAGGCTCAGCGGCCATGGCTCACAGGCCCAGCTGCTCCGCGGCATGTGGGGTCTTCCCGGACCGGGGCACGAACCCGTGTCCCCTGCATCGGCAGGCGGACTCTCAACCACTGCGCCACCAGGGAAGCCCCAGGCTAAATATTTTTTGAACAAAATGAGAGCTGGCCTTAGACTCAGATTGTAGCAGGACATAGCTATAGTTTGATAACACTGCTTCATTTTTATCAAGATCATTTTTTATTTTTCTGTGGCAAACAATTTTCTATTTATTATATTGAAATAAATTCATTTAAAAATTTAATTTTAAAAGTGGGTAGATAAAATATCAAGTAAATAAGGTATATTTGTTATGCACATATGACAAAAATCATGAAAACTGTAGGCTAATGACTAAATTTTCACAAAACATAATGAAAATGAAATGTAAGTGACTAAAGTTATGCTATCAAATGTTTCACTGAACCTCATTTTCTATTCACTTAAATCCATGTTGTCATTTTCACTGAACATTTTCATAGGAATGGAAATCCTACAAAAAAGGATCCTACTATAAGCTACACATCCAGGGTCCTGAATGGTGGGGGGTTTAATTGTTTCTAGTCTCAAAGAAATGACTGCTGGCCACTTTCTAAATTAAAACTGTTATACAAAATAAAAGAAGTGTAATTTTCCAGTGACAAATATTATGTTAAAAAATATTTTAACAAGCTGTGTATTTTAACTCAACACATTTTCACAAAATGTTCTGTGTAAAAATAAACAAGAATCTTAATTTAACAATAATGCATCTATGAGTAAGGCTTCTGCTTATATATTCAGGAAGGAAAAAAAGTATTTGAAATCTGATACATATTTTATATTTAGAGCACATTCCAATTAAAACTAGCCACATTTCAAGCATGCAATAACCTCATGTGGCTGGCTAGTGGCTACTGTATTGGATAGTGCAGTTTTGAACACAGAAATCTGTTCATTACATCTCCTTGTATAAAAATCTTTGATGACTTCCCATCATCTTTACATTAAAGTTTAAAATATTTACCTTGGATTACAAGTTTACCCATAGCTTGCCTACAGTTCACCCATGGCTTCACCCTGCCTACAGTTCCAACCACATCAGATAAAGCTGCTTCCCTCTCAAACTCCCTCTGTTAAGGCTTTGCCCTTCTGTCTATTCTCAACTCAGCAGGCAGTGATCTTAGAAAATACATCAGATCATTTTATCACTGGGCTCTGGGCCTTCCAATGGCTTTCCACTCTCCTAGAGTAAAGCCAACTGCCCTATTAATTGCCTACCACGCATTGCATGATTTTGCTCCCCATCCATTCCCTGTGACCCTGCTTTGCATCTTCTACCTCTTTTTTTGTATCAAGCAGTCTGCTGCAGCCACACTGGCCTCCTTCAGAATCTTGGGCATCCAAAGCATTCTCCTGCCATTGGGCCTTTAGTACTTGCTCTTATCCAGCTGTCTGTATGGTTTTCTCCCTCCCTTACATCAGGTCTTTATTCAAACATTACCGTATTAATAAAGCCTTCCCCGATTCCCCTTTTTATATTGCAACTCCTGCTACATCCTACCCGAGTAATCCATATTACTCTCCATTCTTATTCCTGTCTTCAAAGAACTTAACAACATCTGACACTCGATATGTTTAATTTTTTAAGCCATTTCCCCTTAAAATGCATGCTCTATGAGGGTAGAGATTTTTTGTTTTTTGACTGTTTTGTTTACTGAAGTGTTTCCAGGGCCTAGAACAGTATCAGGCATTACTTGGCCCTCAATGAGTATTTGGTAAATGAATGAATGAATTGCTGAGGGACTCCGTTAATTTCTGAGTTTACTCTGCTCTTTGTTCTGCTTTGAGCCTTTTCCTCTGTTGAACAATCTCTTCTCTCTATCCCCACCCTACGACCCACTCATCTTGCTGAGTCCTAGTCATCTTTCAAGTCTCACTTCTTTTAGAAAGCTCTACCTGGACTTCCCTGGTGGCGCAGTGGTTGGGAGTCCGCCTGCCGATGCAGGGGACGCGGGTTCGTGCCCCGGTCCGGGAGGATCCCACATGTTGCGGAGCGGCTGGGCCCGTCAGCCATGGCCGCTGAGCCTGCACGTCCGGAGCCTGTGCTCCGCAACGGGAAAGACCACAACAGTGAGAGACCCACGTACCGCAAAAAAAAAAAAAGCAAGCTCTACCTGACTCCCTAGACTAGTTTCTCTAAGCACCTGTGCGCCTTTTCCATGTTAGTAATCCCTTGACAGTTATTTGTTTAATGGCTGTAAGTGCCACAAGGACAGTTTGGCACAGTGCTTGTCATAAAGTCGGTGCTTGGTACTTATTTGTTTTATTGAATTGGACAGCATGTGAGTACTCTGCTAATTAAATTCCTGCAGAAGATAATGCGTGTCTACTCAGTGCATGTTCTGATCATGGCATAATTCATCTCACTACAAATTTATAGATTTTTTTTGGCTTGTTGCATTACTCTAAGTAAGGGATGGAAGCAGGTAGTAAAAATCTTGAAACTGATTCAACTACAACTCAAGAATGATTATTTTAATATTCCAATTGAAACAAAATCTTTCCAATTAAAATTACTATCCATGTGAATTTTTTTTTTTTTTTTTTTTTGCCTACTGCAAAACTACAAATAGAAATTGGATATTGTTGCAGCAACTCTCAAGTCTATCCCTGATTTCAAATGCTTGTTAACTCAAAATTGCCCTTGAAAACCTTAAAATTTTGAACTTATAAAATATATTTGGATTCTTAAATTACTACCTTATTTTAATATTAGGGTTTAGTCTACAATTTCATTTAAACATTAATGATGATGCTGTTAAAATGTTAGAAAACCACTGTTGTAGGCAGTAACATCTTCTTATATAGCACACATTAATGGTATACAGTATGCATTTCTGTTTTTAGCCTGAATCATATTATATAACTACTAGATCATGTTATCACCTCAACTTCTTGTAACTGCCACAAGCCAGACACGGGCCTTACCATTCTTATATCTACAATGCTTTAGCATATTTTCAGTACATATTTAAGTTTTTATAAATGCCTGAAAAGTTGAATGAGTGAATAAATAAGTGATTAATTCACTAATGTCTAATATGAGATCACTATAATTCTGTAAATAGAATGAGCATGCTATGTATCTTTTAGTTAGTACTTTTAGGTTTTGTTTGTATTTGTTAAAAATGGGATATCAGTCCCTACATCTTGAAAACTTTTAAATTACTTTCTTATTCACCCCTTCTTTCTCTACCACTTCCTTATTTCTCTGTTTATAGGGTATGTGAACTTCATTTCCAAAAAACAAACCACCAAAAATAAGAATGTTTCCCAACATATATCAATACTGCACATGGAAAGTAAAATATTATCTGATTCAGTGGTTTCTAATGTTTTCTTTTAGAAGGAGCTATTCAGATATCAACTTTGAGATTAAACCTTCATTTTAGTACCTCTCAATTTCTCTATATTTCTCTATTCAAAACATTCATGACTATATATATATATATATATATATGAGATCATAACATGTATGTTCTTTTTGTATGAACATTTACTTTAAAATGTCATTTAGAAATCTGGCTTATTACCACCTTTTCTTCCTTCTTTCCTCTTCAAATATCATTTTCCTAAAATGTCGACACACTGCTGTGTAGATATATGTTTACATATTTATGAACAGAAGGATTTAGTGTTATTCATTTTTCAATATTGAGATAATATCAATAAACTTTAGATTGTTTTCATCAATTATCAATTATGACATGGAAATCTCTCCAGGTCAATGGTTGTAGTTAAGTCACTGTGATATATTTGTAGTATATGTGTCAAGAATCTCCCAGTTGGAAGAAATACTTTATAAACTATGCTGCAGTAAACATCCCCATGATGATACTTATATTTCAGTTCCCAAGAGTAGGCACTCTGGGCCAGGGTATGTTTATTATTTGTTTTAACACATATTTCCATGTTACATTCCTAAACATTTCTAAAACGCACAATAATGTAAGTGAGCACCCTAATCTTTCACCCTGCTAATCCCTATAATTAATGTTAGTCACTCTTTTACCTTTTGACAATATGTGGAGTTAAATATTATTACTTTAATTGAAGTTTCCTAATTGCCACTAATGCTCCACATTTTTTTTCATATTTTTATTGGTCATTTGTTTATACTTTTCTATGAATTGCCTTTTATATCCTTTTCTATTGGTTGCTTATCTTCTATTAATTTATTGGGTTGGCCAAAAAGGCCATTCAGGTTTTTCTGTAAGATGTTATGGAAAAACCTGAATGAACTTTTTGGCCAACCCAATATAAGTGCTATTTATTAGCAATATTAATTTTATATTTGTCATTTTTGTTATATATATTTTTGTATCAACTTTCTAATGACGTGCATAAAAGTCACATTCATAATAGCATAAAAAACAGTAAAATACTTAGGCATAAA